TGGGTGCGGATACAAGTGAAAATGTAATAGGTTGATGCATAATTGTTGCGGAGTTTTTCGCCGCTTCTTTTCTCTCCATACAATTTCAATATCAAAGTCGGGATTTTTATAGAAATAATCTACTCGCTTTCCTTAATAGAAATGTATCTAGAAATTCATCTTCCTGCTTGCTACATTATGCTCTATTACTTCGCGAAATGATGGAAGGTGGCACTCAACGAACTTTTTGGCGATGAAATTGTCAGCTAAAGCCAACTAGGGACTGGTATTTGCTCCTAAATCTCCATATTGACCCGCAGACACTCCTATAAGTTTTCACGTCACCCGTTCGTTGAAAGATTGGCTAGCAAACAGGCCTTACGACGAAATAGATGACGTGGTGGCCGATGTCGAGGTGAGGATCGCCTCCGAAGACCGGAAGTTCCTCACCTGCGAATCTGGCTGCCTAGCAAATGGGAAGCAGTTCTTGAAGTAGATTGGGAATACGATCCGGAGTAATTATTTGAACATGTATTTGTTGAATATTTTCATATTTCTTTCAAATAAAACTTGCTGAGAAAAATCTGCAATAATCATGCATCAACTAATAGTTAGGGGGAAGTCAGAACAGTGTAAGTATAGCAAGTGATTAAAACTGGGAGACGGGCGTTAGTAACGATTTTGGGTAATCGATTCGCCGCACGCGGCTGTCGCGGACCACTCATTCGCCATTATTANATGCGATCATTATTTTATGCATAATTCTACTATTAGTACTTTTGTTCTTGTATTTCTTACCTACTGCTGCATCCTGCTACATTGCTTCGCGCGCGACGCCCCTCTCACCACGACGCGACCATTTCGTTCCTAATGCACCACACCCATTAAAACTTTGTTACGTTTTAATTCGTGTTATGCTAACACTGTATCAGGGATGAAGAGGATGATGGCCACTGGCCATCTATGCGCTTTTGTGCGGTTTTAGCCAGGTGGATGTAGTGTTTTAGCCAGGCTCTGTTAGGGTAGGAGCGCCGGGGAAAGAATTACCTCGTTCGGAAAGTTGGTAACTCGCCCACGCTGATGCTTCTTCCCTTCTAAGGCTTACCATTATTATAGACTTACATGTACCTGGTGTAACACGGAATAACATGCAAAACCGTGTCAATTCCTTGACCCAGTAGCGCNAGGCTCTGTTAGGGTAGGAGCGCCGGGGAAAGAATTACCTCGTTCGGAAAGTTGGTAACTCGCCCACGCTGATGCTTCTTCCCTCCTAGGGCTTACCATTAGTTATAGACTCACATGCACCTGATGTAACACGGAATAACATGCAAAACCGTGTCAATTCCTTGACCCAGTAGCGCCGTGTGGTGGAGCATTGGGGGCGGAGGGGGGAGTACTGTATCATACGTTCACGGGACTTCAAAATTTGACTCGTTTCCACCTCTGTGACTACAGCCTGCCACCTCTTGTCCTTCCAAGAACGGCCCATTCCGACCCACAGTGCAATCATTAGCAGTCTCTATCGATATCATTTGCTTTTCAGTCCACCTTTTGATCGGTTGGGCTTCTTCTTTGTCACAGTATCGCTAATTTCAGTGTATCAAGCGGTCAATGGAGTTGAGCCTTTGCTATCTTCTGATCACTGCTCTAGTTTTCACATCTGCATTGCGAAATAAGGTGAATTTTGCTTTTTTTTTACTTATAATTTCTACTTTTTTGTGGTTGCGTACTTTTACATAAACACAACGCACTTTGACCTTTCCCATTTCTTCGTTCTCGCAAATCTGTGTCATCACAATGAAAGTAGCCAAAGTTGTTAATGCAGAGAATGGAGGGAAAAGAAATTGTACCCGACTTTTATTTTTCTTCATTTTTGGGTTTGTGGACTCCTTCTCCTTGCCCAGAAATGAGTAAAAGTGCGATAAGTGACGTCTTCTCTACCATTTATTACCTTTACCGAATAATGTATAAGAACTTAACTCCTCCCAGCATGGCGTAACCACCTTAAAGGCACCGTTAGCAATAAATTTAGGGTACCTTTTTTTGATGGGAATTGATAGAACTACTTTAGAATAAAGCGATAACAACGAAAAAAGCGCAAAAAGCGATGATCAAAAAGAATTTCAAAGGGTCAAAAAAAGGTGCTAAGTGGGTTGGGGGGTGCTCGGGCGAGTGCACGAAGGTGACGCAATGTGTTGTCTGCAATAGCAGACAACACTGCGTCTCTGGCAATTTGCCAACCAGCTTATCGACTTTTCACCAACTTCGCTCCGATGCGAAAGTGGTGAACGGCAATTAGATTTCGTAGTCCGCCTAGCGAGGGGCGGAGGGCGACCGTGGATGACTCTCCGGCCCCTTGTTGTGCCCTATCCAGCCGTTTTCCGACCTCATTCCTACACAAATGGTATCAGAGGGAGCGACGAATTCAAACCATGTGCAAATCTCCGAAACCATTTTTTCGTAAACAGTGCCTTTAAGCGTTTTACGCACCTAGCCATTGTCAGTACGTTCCCGGAGTGTGGGTAGATAAGTGGCTTGTTCTATTGTTACGAAAAGTTGATATTTCTTTATCTTTGTACCTAGCAAGCAACAGATCCTGTAAATTAGAAAGAAATTTGAAGCTTTCAATTTCTCGTTCGGGTCAACATCGCATAAGTTATGAACTTAAGCGCTGTTCATCTTCAGTCGATAGCAACATCCGAAGTTCTCCTCAACGAGATTATCAGTGGACAAGACGATTCTTTGAAGTGGTTAGCCGAGTTGTGCGATGACTTTGGACCACGGAAAACGGGATCTGAATCCCTGGAAAAGTGAGTATTGTTGTGTACAATCATCGACCAAGGCGTTCAGAACTAGACCCGAGAATATTCTGCTAACATGGCACAGCACTTTTTAATGTCGTATATACGGTTTCCATTGAAATGCTAACGCTAGGGGCTGAAAATAGCGCTTATCTATATGGTAAGCTGTCAAAAATACGTGATTTAGGGCAATCGATTGGGTAATGGAATCATTGCGAGCAAGTGGTTTTGAAGTCCATTCTGAACCTGTTCCTGGACTGCCCAATTGGATCCGTGGTGAAGACACGGCATACATAATAGGTTATTCCTTCGTTCCGTTTTCTTTTTTTGTCAGTTTCTTGGATAAAAGGGCTTGCAGGCAGAAGCGTGACTATTTCGTCTGGGGGTATTTAAATTTTAGTATTCTTCTTTATAATTTTTATTTACTCTTTTATTACTTTGCTTTTTATTCAGCTTCTATTCCAAAACTAGATTTGGATACCCCTGCTCTTCATGATTTTTTTGTAAGTTGAAATTTATGTCACACTGAGCTGAACAATATTTTGCCTGAACTTTCTAATCTTGACTGACGGAATTACTCGACTGCGTGAGATAATGGTTGACGTAGGGTAAACAAGTGGCATCTTTCATAGTCCACGATTTTGCGAGCGATCGACTGGTCGCGCGACTGGTCGTAGACTATGAAAGCAGCCTATCCCATAACTGCTTACTAGGTTAGGAAATCTGCTTAGAAGCTAAAGAAAATTCCAAGATCGACTTTCAATTAGTCTCAACATATCCAAGCAAATTCGACTTAGGTTGGCAGCGAGGTTGACATAGCCTCTGAGATTGTTAAGATCGTTTTCCTAGGGGACAGAGAAGAGTCTGGAGGGTTTTGATAGTGACAGGATGAGTGCTGAACCTCGTAGGCCTCGAGACATAAAGAAGCCAGTTTCCAACTTTAAGATATTGCCATCCCTATTGGTATGCCTTAGCGTTTTCATCTAGTTGTTCGGGACTGCTGTAACAGGATTTGTACTATCTGTCTGTAGTACTATCTGTTTAAGGCTCTATTCGACAGCACATAGACCATGGATGATCGTTTTTGAATCACATAGGCAATCACGTTGGAAAGGCACAATTCACGATAAAAATGGCTTTTGATATATCCCGCTAGAATGTCTTTGTATGACCCCCTTATGGGGTACATATGTGGCGCTGTTATGCCTGAAAACGGCCTAGATAGGGCTTATAAAGGCTCAAATATTGTACCGTGTGTATCCTTGGACGAGTTTCACCGGCATTGTGGAGGTTGCATCAATCGCAAGGTAGCCAATGTAGGGATATAAAATAACTTGTCGTGACCCAAAGTGAGTGTGGAACATAGTCCTGTACAGTTCTGGCTTGACGTAGTCAGTTATTTGCGCGATTGCAACAACTGAAATCTCGTCCGAATACCCCTTCCATGTTATTCCCCTCATGGTAGTCTCGTCCAGCCTCTGTTATCCCTATCTTCAAGGAGCCTTATTCTTCTCATAATCGGCAAACTATCTCACTTTTGTCACTACCAGTGAATTATTCCCAACCTATACTTCCGCTTTTCGACTAAATAGGGTGCCTCGAAATCAAGTGGACTGTGCGTTTAAAAAAATTTCGTAAGGTGTTCATGAAGAGCATGGTCTTTAAGAAAATTTATGAAAGTAAGATGAAAAAGATGCTAGAAGCGGCTATTGAAGGAGCATAGCAGCTGTGCATGAACTAATTGCTTCCATCTCGGCTGGTTTCGATTTTGGTACGAGGATGGGGGATCTAGACGCGTTGGTCCTGGTCCTGGTCCAAATGATTTCGTTTGGCAATATTCTATATTTTGAAAGGAGAGCGAGGGTTGCCAGGCTAAGCCAGGAGATTTAGCTGAATTCTTATGCCATTCTTACGATTTTTTTTGTGAAATGTAATTTTTGAAGAGCCACGAAAGCATAAACTCAACATACTGGCCATTGACGGATCTCCTCCAGGTTTAGTTGAAGGTGAAGTTGTTGTAATACGGGACAAAGAAGAATTACAGGTAATTTCTAGTTAATAATATTATCGGAAGCCCTGCGAATCTTTTACAGAATAAAACTGTCAAAGGGAAGATCGTCGTTACTGCTCAGAATTGGACTGATTATCCCAATGCATTGAAATATCGAAAGCTTGCTAAAGAGGTAGCAAAGCGAGGAGGGCTAGCATTACTGGCGAAGTCGGCTACACCGCTGTCTCTCTACACAGCTCATACGGGAGCAGGAGCACGAGGTACGTTTTCTCGTACCTCTGCTGGTCATTCTGGACAACATACATACAGTAGCGCTCAAAAGTCTTCGGTGAAATGGCTCTTCAGTCGTACTTTTCAGTCGTAACTCCTCCCCTATTGGATCTAATCACGCGAAATTTCTATATTTGGAGCGTGGGTGTATTGTGAATATTTACCACTATTAACCTGCAATCTGATCATGTTCCAAATAT